CCTGAAAGGTGGATGCAAACCCCTGATGCAGCGGCGTGGGCAGAGAGAAGTCGCGTATGTCGGCAGGACAGCACTTCTGCCAGACACCACTTTGCTAAAGGGAACACGTCGCATCTCCAGCGAGCGAAGCCCCTCTTCATCTTTTTGCAGCACTAAATGCTCACGGCTCTTTGCACTTCACGGCAAACAAGCCTTACCCCCAAACAAACTGCTCTGTGAATTCAGAACTGGAAGGCTACCTGCAGCTCTGCTATGCACTGGATCGTGTTACAGTGCAATTTTAATTAAGCGTTTTTGAATAATCTGGATTAGCGTAATCTGTGTAGCTCTGTCCAATTCCCACTACTTGGCATAATGTCCTCCCAATTACAGGATTAAAAAAACCTGACGGCAAATTTAGTCCGCTAGTCACACTGTATTTAAAATATGCTTTGTAACAGCTAGGAGGGGAAATCCAACTAATTATAAATGAGACTCTGTGGAAACTTATTAGTCCATTTTAACAGCAGAACTAATAATTTGAATTTAACTAACTGCCTCATGAACAGTGTATGACAGGTTTGAGCACAATATAAAACAGTTAGTTAAGAACGGCAGGTTATAGAGGCAAAACGTGAAGACGGTGACTGGAAAAATACAGCAGCTTCTAATCCAACTGCGAACGTTATTTCTCAAATGCCTGTTGTCACCCACAGTAACCGGCATTACGTGCATTTAACGACCATTCGATGCCTTTGAACACAGCTGAAATTACAGAAGGTCGTCTACTTCAGCCCAGTGACTCTTGTAGACTACTATTTTCCCCCAGCTTCTCCACAACATTGGAAGTGACTCACGTGCCCTGCAAAATATTTTTGCCCTCCTGTCCCGATGTCAGACTGACCATGAAGAATGGTGTAGGACATAGTAGTGCAACACAGTATCAGTATAACTGAACAACAGCATAACTCAACCCCCATGTCTACTAGTTTGACCCCTGTATTCAGGGTGACTTTTCACCCCAGTGTTTTTTCCCATCTATGAGTATTTGCCAGCACGCACGGCTACAGGAAAAGATTTGGACTGTGTTTGTGAAAACAAAAGCTTATGGATGTTTACACTCGAAATAATGTTGGCTTGTTAAAGCATGAGTATATCCCGGAGAATGTCACTGTTGCTCCCTAATTCTGTTTTCTTCTCTAAATAAATTTAGTTTGATATTTCCTCCTGGCTATGTCTGAAATCAGAGACTTTTCTTGTTAAACTGTAATGCTGCCTTTTTCTGAGAGGAAATTGGTTGGAAGGCTTTATAAGAATTGTGGATTTTAGAATGTAGGTTAAAGACACGATTGTTCAGAAGCGCCTACGATATGCTTAAGAAATCTGACACTATTCATGGTGCCTGCTTAAGCTGTATTCATGGCATCAAAGAACAGGGATTCGATTATACTTGCTCCCCCACAATCTTCTTTCTAACCTTTTAAGGGCTGTCTGTCTTCAGCGCCAAGTGGGTTGAAGAATTAAAAAATAAGTTATGTAGTACAGGAATTATGACTAGCACAGTACAATTCCATGCAAGGCAAAAATGCAAGCATTTTTTTGAAGCAGATACCGGCCAAAGATGGGAGAAACTTAGTTTACTCTGACTATTTAAGCAAAATTAAAGGAAGCAGTGTTAGGCAACCTCATTGCTCCATCTCTTTCCCACCAATATACATCATCAAAATAAAACCAAAGGTTTTTGAAGTCAGTTGGCCAAACGTCTATAACTGACTGAGGATCAGCAGTTCCTCTTGGGTTTGGCTCAGACTTTGCTTATTCTAAGGTGAAGGATGCACCACGGCAGCCAGCTTCAAACATTTCTCGTCCCCTTTGGTAGCCAAAAGCACTGAACTTGACTAAGTAAATATGTGATAACTAGTTTAGTGTTCCTGCTCTGAGGAGAGAACTGCAGAAACCTTAACAGCAAGCTGAAAGTTTTCTTCTGAAAGAACTGCAGTTCTTTCAGTATCCCCAGGCTAAAAATTTTGTCAAGCTTTCAACCTGTGCCACTTTAAATGGCACACATTATGTATATAAGCTGTAGGAAATGCTTATTGCAAGTGCTAGTTCCTTAGTTGATGAAAAGTTTGTCTCTGTCAGGGATAGTTTATTTCCAGTTCCCATATAATTACACAGGATTCCTAGACAGCAAGACACCAGTCTGCAGCCTGTTGTTTAAGTCTCCCTCCCTAAAAGAGAAAAAGAAGGCAGCACACTCCCGTGCTTCTGGTGCCTTTCAGATTTGCGATCTGCAGGTCCACAAGTCTGACTTCCAGGTGAGGAAGAACAGGTAGCAATTAGACATAAAGACAGTGCAGCAGGGAAGACTGGGAAGTTTCTTAGAGGGAAGTCCTTTGAAGGAATCGGCACGTATAAGGAGACAGGCAATCCAAACGGTGCTGCATTTGCCTTTCCAAAAAGCTCGTGACTAGGCCTCTGGCCAAATGCTGTTAAAGACACAAGCTCCTGGGGACATAAAAGGGAAGATCCGCCTACAGATTAGCAGTGGTTAAAAGAAAGTAAAGGCTAAGAAGAAATGACTGATTTTTCAAACAGATGGAAGCAAGAGTCAAATCTCAGTCCTGTGCTGCCTTACAGTCGCTAGCTATGTTCGTATCAGCGATGCAATGGGGGTGGATCTGTAAAGCAAAACAGTTGGCGCTGAAGACCTAGGGACCATACCATTCATGTTTTGGGGGTGAGAAGTACTTCATTCTAGCTCTAGTTTGGTCCAAAGGACAGAGCATCTGCTAGCAGTCACAGCTCGTTCACTCCTTTAGTTTGATCTGACGGGAATCCAGTTCACGCATCCTGAGACTGCTCTGCAGCACGACCCAAAGAGCTGCGAGTCGGGACTCCTAAGAGATTCAGTTCAAAAGCGCACACCTGATTTGAACTAAAATACTAAGGTAGATGCACAGATTAATGTTGTGGAAGAGACTGAAAAATGAGATGATAAAGTCTGTTTTAATAATCACACTGAATTGCTCATGGTTGCCACCTCTAAAACCGGTAGGCTACCGCGAGCTCCAGATACTGAATGGGAAATTAATGAAAGTTAATTACACAAAGAGTGTAACTATATTTGCTGGGCCAAAAATTAAACAAACAAATAAATAAATAGGGAGCGACATAATAAGGGACTAAGATTCACATTTCAGTTGTTGCTTTGAAAAAGGCTGTGGTAGGCACTTGATTTACCATGCTTGACACTAACTTATTTTGGAATTAGCAGCGGTTAGAAAGGGAGATTGCACTAGAGCAATGATAGATCACTGGCAGAAGAGAGCGTTGGTTAAATAGACGCTTCCTGGAATTTTTGTGCTGTAAGAAACCGTAGCTCACATGCAGCTGACTTCCTATTCAACAAATCATGTAGTTTTTCATTTATAACATTTACTATCTGACTGCAGGGAATAAAGCAGCCTACAAAACAATTCTAGGAAATTCAGCTAAATCTTGGTCCTTTCAAAAATTAGATGAGTGTGTGTTGGGGGGGATAGTTTCATAAACTTATCAACCTTCAATTTCTATATAGTTTTTGAACTAGAATAGCTAATAAAAGGGTGTATTATCTACATGATCTCCCCTGCCTCCACTGCAAGCTCAGATATTAAACTTTTGGAAGATACGGAGCAATATGTGATTATGGGAAGGAGTGGCAGTGAAAGCACCGTCTTCAACTGATACATCCAAAACTAGGTAGTTTTGAAAATGGTAAAGATATTTAACGTACTGAAATAATGGGAGGTAAACTAGGGGAAAAACCCCAGTCACATTAAGTTATCCACCAATCTAATCTGCCAGTGAAACTGAAAGCTAAAAATAGCTTGCCACTTCATTTTTCTAAACCTGTGATAAAATAAGACTTGGAGTTTTTTTTTAAGGCTTCTCTGAAACAAGTTAAAATAATTCAATATTGTTGAAGAAGGAACTGCTGATACATGGCTCTGGATCAGTAAATATGCTCTCTGAATTGCTGGAGTTAAATCTCCAACAGTTGAAAAACAAACTGCATACCAATACACAGTTACAACATATTTATAAGAGAAAAATCGTTCAAGCTCATCCTTAAAATAATTCACATATTCACATAGAGAGAAATGCTAAAAGCAAATTGAGTATGTCATTTCTCTTTCCTTCACAGAACGAAGAAATAAGATTATACTATGTATTCTAATTTACTTCCAACAACTCAAGCCTTCCATTTCTGTCTCTGCTGGAGAACACTGTCAGGCTGTTTGGACACTCTGACCAGTGACGTTGCCCCTGGCTGCAAGTTTCAGAAGTGGGCTCTTCCCCAAATAAGGTGAGAATGCTGACTGTCCTGGAAGAGGAAGGCTTTTAAACAGGAGGTATTTTAGCTACGTTTTTTTTGGTTTACAGAAATGTTTATTTCTCTGCCTGTTATACTCATATCAACTATGGAAAAAACAAGAGTTATTACTCAAGAGTTGTTCCATCAGATTCATGTCCATAAAACGGTTTTGCCTCCTGCAATGTTGATTTATAAAGACATATCAGTGATGACTAGATTAAATCAAGAGTTGATAAGAGGTCTGAGGAGAATGTGTCAGAAAAGAATTAGCATCAAAGCTTTAACAGCCAAATTTAATAGCCGAAAGATGCAAATATTTATTTTATTCCTGAATCCCACCCGTCAGCCACACAGGTTAAGTTTTGCTGCAAGAACTGAGAGGTTAGGCACCTGACCCACTCTGATGCTCCAGGAAATGGCTACTGGCTGCATGATCAGATATCTAAGTATCGCTCTAAATCTGGCCTTTAGATGCCTGAAACTAGTTACTAGCCTGCAGTTACAGCACTCATGAATTTTAACTCTCCTGGGACTTTTTGTTTGCTTGTTTTTTAAATACTCCCCAGCTTTCCTTTGCCGGCCTTCTGAACACACAAACCCATGCCAAGACCAGCCTCAGTAAGGAGAGGAGCGAACGGCAAGCAGTAAGGATCTCACATACCTCTTGTCGTGCATACCTTTGAGCATTTCATCGAGAAGGTTTCCTTGGAAGGATAACATTGCGGTGGTGGGTCCAAGTACTCCTGCGCTGCTCCTGAGGTTTTGTGGTAAGGGTCTGAGGAACCAGTAGAAGCCCTTGCATGTTGACCACCCTGGATGCCTTCTGCTGATCTGCAACGGCATAAAAGGGTAACGTACGTTAATTAGGTCGTGCTCCCTCCTGAATATTTGAACAAGAAAAATTGGCAGACGCTCCTGCTACTGAAACCACCTAGCTTGCTTCGTATCTTGTTTTGCTTGCATACTTCGAAAGCAAATATCCCAAACACTTGCACATATCAATGTTCACGAGGATATTTGCACTTGATCATTCATTGCTATTTTGGAAAGTTGCGTACTTACTGAGTAGGCTGGTTGAATTGTTTGGGTTACTTGCAAAAGGTAGTTAAGGAGAAGGGTGTGGGGGGAGCTACTGTCCATAAACATGGAATAACAGCCTTTTCACGAAAACCAAATATTTTTAGCTAGTCTACAGCAGCCTAGAGAATAAAAATGACATTTTCACATAATCAATCTGTAAAGTAGCACAACTATTTTATGGGTAAACATTGTGTCAAGTTTATATTTCCAATTACTGTGTCTCACAAAGATGCCTTTTGAAAGAATGAAAGCCATAAAAAAAAAAAAAAAACCAGATACAGATTTTAAAAGCAGGAAAAATATTGGCCTAGTTAGACCTTTCTCTTTTTTCCAGAACTCCCTTTAAGTCTGATAATATTTGAAGAAGAATCTAAAATCGAGCAAAAGAACCATTTCTGTGTTAGTCTCTCCATTTGTGATCAGTCTTTCCATTTGTGTATTCCAAAACTGAATTGTCCATTTTGCTGCAACGACATGCAGCTCCACATCTCAAGCCCGACCCTCCAGTGTGATGTTTGAGGTTGACCCAAATGGAAGAAGGAACTCTTGGAAAAATAGTCTTAAGCATACAGAAAAAAATGAACAGAAAAGGCTGAGATTTTAGGTTTTTCTGTGGGAGAAGCACCAGTTAACCTTTTTAACCTGAGAAATACTGGACGTAAATTCATTTGTAGGTGTTTCGTCCTATCTAAACGTTCTTCCTAATTTTCAGGAGAATTGTAACCTATGTTTTCAAGATACAGCTGAAAGATTTTCTTGTTGAATGGTATTTTAAGTCTCACTCAGCATTATTATTTTAAAAAGTCTTTTTTCCTACTTATCCTGAATTACTTAACCACAGATTTGCGTTTTCCTCAATTGTAGTTTTATTTCCTAGTACCACTGCACTTCACTAAGGTTCATCTTCATCCAATTCCACCGATTCAATCTACACATATTATCTTATTCATCCACATTAAATCATGTTCTTTGTAGTTTTTACACTTAAATTAAGACGTTCAATAATAAGACCAACCCTAACATCTCCACGTGTAGCTGCCAACATCTCTGTTTCGGCTGAAACATTCCTGATTTTTCTGACCTTTGTCCTGGGTCTTGTGCAACCACCAAAGCATCCCACACAGCTGTGTCACATAAATTAAATAAGCCGTGTGATTTATAAGACTTCCAGTTAACTTGAAAGCAATTCCTTTGGTACTTCTGATGCAGCTGCCTCTCTCTATTGTATCTTGCTACTTGCCAGGAAAAAAAAAAAAGCCTGATGTTCAGCAACTGAGTATGATTAAAAAAAAAAACAACACCACTCTTCCTTTTAGATATGTTTTTCTCACAATTGCCTCTTCTGGTTACCTTTACTCCTGTTTTCCTCCAGACTTTCCAGTTCAGAGTAACGCAACTCCTCCTCCCCGCTCGCCAGCACAGCGGGGTAGGAGTTTCAGGCACAAAGGCACTGTGAAAGAGAGAGACTCTGGCTGGAGTCTTGCTCATAAAGGATGAAAGCACTAGGCACCCAAACTACAGCTCCCACAAAACTCTTCCCATCTCTTTAATTACAGTATCGGGAGGTCTTTTGGCCAAAAAGACGTCTGTAAGTCCTCAGCAAAACACTGAAATTTCCTTACAAAAGCAGCTGTTTTTTCATGGGAGGTAAGCAGGGGAAATGTTGTTAGGTTAAGCCAAACTCCGTCAAAACAACTGATGGAAAAGTTTTTTGACCAGTTGTAGTGAGGGCTGGCGCCTCCTAGATTCTTGCCTTGACTCTGAGAGCTGCCTCCACCGCTGTCCTAAATCTGTGGCCGCAGCTTCCCTTTCTCTAACCCCGCGTGGATACACGGACGGTCTCTCGGCCTTTATGGTCCTTCCACGAATTCTCAGTCTCTGCCCCCAGACCTCTGTCCTGTATAACTAACGTCGCCAAAAAAAAAATCCAGAAAGGTGCTTTACTAAGAAATGGTGGCTTAATTTATGGCTATCCTTCATAGATTGCTTAACTGATGCTATAAAAATAATCCCTTTTCTGGAAAAGTACCTTTAATACATCTCTGGCATTTGCCTCTTTTACTTCTAATATGCTCAAGATGATTTAACTGTATCTCCTCTTGATTGCCCCTTTTACTAAGAACAGTCATTCAGACTTTGGGGATGATTCTTAGGCTGGCCTTTGTTCCCATTTTTCTCTAATTTTCCCTGAACTAAGAGACAGAAGAAAAATTCATTAGCTAGTTTTCATAATACACTACCATTACCATCATCCAAGTTTTTATACTGAGTCAAGTACTCCTTCCAGTCCATACAATGCTCTTCACTGCTGCTTCTATTCTCAGCCTTTTTTTCTTTTTTTTTTTTTCCTTCTTGCTTAAACGCATATTATCAGGAAGGACTTCAGTATTTCAGCTTTTCTCAGATCTTAAATACATTTATCTGCTCCCCATCTTTGCCTATATTCTTAAGCTGCTCTACATTGCGGTCATGCCCCCAGAGGCTAAATGGGAGTGCTTGACCGCCTTACTGCCATGGCTGGTTTGCTACTGCTGTTCAGAGCTACCGATCTGTCTCCTACCCTGCAGTCACTAACACACCCCCAGAGGAAAACATAAACAGCCTAAACTCAGGTCTGACACCCTGCAGGCTAGCTAGGCTGAAAGGGAGAGGATAATACCCCCAGAGTTTATTTTTCACACCAACCCTTCTATTTGCTGCTTTGCTCCTTGTATTGACCAGGGCCTGACCTGCTATGCTACCTCGTGCCGCAAACTGCCTAAGACACTTAAACAAGTACTCGTAGTCAGCTAGTGACTGGGACTACTGAAATCCATGTTTGTTCTGGATTTGCATGAACTTGCTCATAGCTGAGCTAGACCAACACGAGAGTTTCAGTTAGTCTCTGTGCCAGGCTCGGTCACAAAACATCCTCACTTCCACAGTGCAAATTTGGCAAGCCCCTCGCTCACTGTCACCTGCTGACTGACCCCTTCAGGATACATGTTAAGACACACGGCCACCCTTCAAATACCTATGACCCAACTTTATCCAGAAAAGTCCAAGAAATTCTTATCTCTGCCTGAGGCAAGCTGCCTACCTTCCTGCCCCCCTCTTAGCTGACTGCTACCCTGGAGCTCAGCACAAGGGAAAAGGTTAAAAATTCTTTAAAACGTGGAAGTACAAAATAGCCCCCTGATTCTGAATGCGGCATGATCATGCTGCATGATCTCAAGGCTGAATAAATGCTTCCTCCGCTACTGTAATGTGAATGTATTTAAGCAACAACAAATGAGATAAGAAATATTATAGGCCTGCTGTGATCTGTGTTTCTTTAGGGTGGTAAAGACATACCTCGCACTGCATGGGTATGGTTTCCTTGCTCTTCTGTCCTCCTTATATCTATCAGCTCCACGATTTTCATGGTACCAGCGTTGCTTATCTTTGTATCGTCCCTCAGCACGAGACATCTTGTCTCTTATATGTATTCTTTCTTGCTGAAATAGCTTCCTGAGCCCGTAGGAAAAAAAAAAGTTCATTTTATAGCTCTAATTTAAGTTATTCATTGACCAACACTTACAAAACACATCCCTTTCCCACCGATTCAAGACTCAGTAAAGGCTTCCTTAAGAAGGGAAGGAAGTAAAGGCCTTTAAACTACAAGTAAAGTAACTTCCTTAAAGAAGCAAGTTTTTCTCCACATTTTCTCATTCACTCAGTAATCATAATTTTTCTATATTCAACATTTAATGCATTTAACTTATTCACGAGGTCTACTCTTACTTCCCCTCACCTTTGCTGCAAGGACAACACATGCTATCCGTACAGAGTATGAAATCTAGGTGTCTGTAATGTTGTCTCTTAAGTATAACGTCAAACACAGCAAACATCAGTTCACTGCACGAGCACGCATATCTAACTGCCACCCACTCCAGGGCAAACCCGAAAACGCAGCATGTGGCTTTTATTCTAATTTCCTAAGAGGAGAGCACACATCAACGCAGACAGAAGGTAGCCTGTGATCTGGGAACGTGTTAGATGCCAACAAAAGTATGTTGAGAGGCAGTTAAGTTTGCGAGAAGATTTAACCTTGATAAATTGGTATTAAACATTATAGGCATGCCATTTCTAGAAAGTATCTTTACCCTTTGAAGTGAAGAAGCCTTAAGTCCAAATCCAAAAGATATGGACAGGCATATTTGAGTGCATCATCAGGCTTTATTCTCATTTACCATCTTAATCGCCCTTTTTTGATTATTGCAGAAGTGTCCGTAGTTGATTTGATTTTATCCGATCAGGCTAAGGCCTCTCCTCCTGCCTCCCCCAGGCTGCCATTAAGTTCAGG